GAGTGTTGGAGAGTGCTGGAGAAAGGCGAGTGCAGCTAGCATTCCTCTCCGGAAATTAGATATCCATGCTTATCTCTTTAAGACTGGGCTGTGATAAATTGCCTCACAGCATCGTAATTTTATCGAGTCCCTTTTGAGTAGGAAATACAATATAAGTTAATGCGTAAAATAAGAATATGCTGAAAAATGACGTATGTTGAGAGGGAACTAATAAATTGATTATTTCTCCACATGTTTCCTTTGATATGAAACAAATTTTCCGTATCAACAAATTCAACAACCCAATCCACCCACATTTCGGTCCCCTTTTCATTTACATGATCATTTTTCCTTCAGCCCACCTATCAAAAATTTGCCCCAAGCAAACACCATAAAAACTTTTTGGTTTTGAATGGCCTGAATATTTGTCTGATTAACTAAAGTAAATTACTGGTCAATTACTATTATTTCAAAAAGAATTAGTTAATACTCATCCTTGGATGTCACCGGGTTACATACAATTACATTCATCTGTGGGCAGGCTAACTGATGTAGGACCAGAAGAAATAGACTAGCATAAACCTGCGTAGTAAGCAGTGCTCCATAACTGATGTTGGTGCTGTGCTAGAAAAGCATAAATGCGGGTGATGAGGAGCTACTGGATCACTACTTAATTCAAATGGGCACTTTGGTATTAAACAAGAGCTCAAATTTTCCCGTGAAAAGCTCCAAAATCAGAAGTCAAGTTAACTATTATGTTACTTTGAAGGAGAAGAAACTGCCTTTGTCCCTCTTAAATGACCATAGGAAGGTATGAAGTTTAAATGTTTGGGCCCCAGTTTTGTCATTTGAAACAACCAGTGATTACTCTGCCTTCAAGATGATAAATTATGCTTCAGCTCGACCATCTTTATTGGTATTTTGTATTTTAATAATTTATTTCAGTTCTGACTTTCTATTAGATTAGATAATTCTAGAGTTTTAGTGAAATTGCCTAATATAATTTTGCCAGTGCATGGGAATCAATCTTCTCAAGTTAAAATTTTATAATGACTTCATTTAGAAAGGTTTTTCCATGAACTAAAGAAAAAATCTAAATATTTTTTTAATAATTAATAAATAAAAATTCAATGAGACGTAAATTAAGAATTTATGTTTTTTATATAACCTAAATTTACTTCATGTTCTTAACTCCTTCTAAATCCTAATTGTAGTTCTCTCTTTGCTCCCTCCACAATTTCTTATTTTTTTTTTGACCCTCCTCTTTCTCTATCCTCTCAATTTTGGCATGATAGTCCCTCTTCATCAAAGCCCATTTTTTAAATTTCCTTTATGTTCCGGATATGAGCAACAATGATAATAATAACTTGTTTAAGAGTTGAGGTTTCTATTTAAAAATCTTATATTAAAATCTTAAATTGGATAAGGTGAAATTTAAGAGAAGAGGAGAGTAATAAAAAAAAAAAATTTAATCATCCCCTACCACAGGAACAAGCATTCCTAACTGATAAACTAAGATTAATGAGAGAGTGTGAGAGCATTATATTAGCTCAATGTAAAATTTTCTTCCCTTAATTTATTCTAGTTTGATCAATTTAAAACAAAACATAAATCGTTTAAATGCAACGCAACTATTGCTAAAGCAAAACAAAAGCCTAAAAGGCCCTACCTACCGTGCGGGCTGGTTCCGGCCCTGATTACATGTTAAAAAAAATAAATAAATAAAAATGAACAATAAGTTCTTGAGAGAACAATAAGACACAAATAAAATAAAATTAAATTGTACATACCCTGAATACACCTGGAGAGTGTAGACAGTTAAAGGAACATGCAAGGACTTTATTTTCAATGAAATGGAAAAAACTATCTTCTTTTCTTAAAAAAAAAAAAAAAAATCCACATTCACACTATTTGTATTTTGA